ATTTTGCAGCTAAAAAAGAAACTCAATTTGGACGTTTTAATGCACCGTTTAGGAAAAATATCGAAATAGGCCAAAGTAAGCATTTTTCTTACCTCAGGTGACCTGAGCTTTGGCCTGACCAAAATAACATTTGCACTTACCTACCTACTTTATCACGATTTTATTAACTCTTTCACACGCCGCTTACTTGTGATTGTCATGTAACTAATTGTAATTGTTCTTCCGTGACGCAGAAGCCGTGTTGGAGGGTGGACGTAATCATCCCATTCCACCCCACCCCGATGTGTTTCGATGGGACCGCTGCTCTGGTACAAACTACAAAGCTATTTAATCCGCGCCGAACCGGGCGGACGTTTGGATGCTCCCTCCCGTCTAGCTTGGGTACTGGGCATGGTATTGGGCCTAGTGACACACGGTAGGTAAATGGTGTTCGAAAGAGCGTTATTAAAAGTAATAATAGAAGTTCTTCAGTTAAAGCTTAGATTATGTCAATAAGTAACCCACCAGAGGTCATCAAAGGTCACATTTCGCCTACCTATTTCAACGCTTCTTGACGAATCGGCGCATAACTTTGGAGCGAATAAAAGAGAGCGCCGCCGAAAAGCGCATTCGGATAGCCATTCAAAACACTTAGAGTAATGCCCTCAGAGTTTAGGTCTAAGGTCAGCGGTTAACCTACAGAGGGCAAAGACCTGCACGACGTTAATTTTACTGGCGTAGTCTTTTTTCGTCGAGACGCGTCGAATAAATAATTGCTTGATGCCTATTTTTTTTTTTCACTCGGCCATCGAGCGGGAGCGGGGAAGGGCAGCCCCCTTTTTTCAGCATTATTCTTAAAGCACACCACGCAAGCATACAAGCATACATGCATTTTAGCATGCGTGTTATCGGCGACCCGTCTGACCAGACCGGGACGGTGCCCCCTGACGGTTTTTTTCGCGATTGCTGAAAGCCAACGGGGGCGCGTTGCTCGGCAGCCCCCAACGGGGCGCGTGTTAAAAGGGCCCGCGTAGGAACGGCTGGAACATTGTGGGTTGTGGGTGCATGGGTGCAGAAATCCAGCCATGGCCGGTAAAGCGGGCAGGGGGGGATAAGGAGCGGCACCCAAGAGCGGAGGCTTATTGCGAAGTTTTGATGGTGAACCATGTCGAAAAGGTATCGATTAGTGCGTTTTGAAGTATTGATAATGTCAATAATTCACGCAACTGTAAATTGACTACCGCAAAAAGTACAAGCGGCTAACGAAGCCATTTTTGAAGATATCGCGCTACTTTTGACAGTGGGTCACCGGTCATCGGTATGTGTTTAATCCAGTGGTTTAATAGAGTTCAGTGGTTCAATCGTATGTGTTCCGTTTCTTTTTTTCTTTCTTTTTTACTTGAGCACAAATGCTTAGTTTTGAAGATAATCACAGTAGCAAATGCTTCGAAAGATGGATAGTGGGCAAAATATCCTGAATTTGTCGTGCTGCATGGGAGGATAGTGTTGATAAGGAAAGTTTTTCTTCTTTTTTTTTTTTTTGTTCCAGATAACTGTGGGTGCCGAATACATTGTCTGGACCACAGGATAATTATTGTTGGTGCAACTGCACCCACTGCATCCATGGTTACTAGTTACTACTCTTATGGGCCCATCAATAGCACTTCGGCGATACCTATCGCCTAGAGGCTGCAATGGGGCCCGGCTTAGAGAACGGTGTCAGACCCTCAGAGACCGGCGTTGGATCCAAGGCTCAGCGAAGGGCCTCAAAGGCGGCCCCAGATGGGGCCCCAGAGATTTGGGCCCTCAGAGGCAAGTGCATGACGCCCAAAGGCAGGGGTGTAATTTTGTATCTCTTTGTGGGAGCAGATGCGCCCACAATCCTGAACTATGTCCCCACAACGATGAAAATGCACCCGCAAGTCTTTTACAAGCGTCCTTTCGAGAGCACGACGCCCTTCGCATGCTCTAACGGCGTCCTCCTGACCGTCTCGCGTTCCTGGATAATATAGCGCTTTTAATCGATCGGCGCCATTCTGGGAGAACGACGGCCTTTTGACAGCACTGCGCCATTCTCATGGTCTAACGGCGCCCTCCTGACCGTCTCGCGCTCTTATGTCTCTGCCCATCGTGCATCCCTCGACTGTTCGGCGTCCTTCTGCCCTCTCAGCGCCCCTGGAACATACAGCGTTTTCAATCACCCGACGCCCTTCTAGGAGAATGGTGCCCCTTTTCATCGCCCTCGTCACCTTCTGGCGCCCCTATGTCCCCACCAATTTAGCACTATTGACTGTTAGACGCCCTTCTGGCCTCCCAGCGCCCCTGGACCACATAGCGCTTTCAATCACTCAGCGCCCTTCTAGGAAAATGGCGCCCTTTTCATGGTCTCACGGCGCCCTCGTAACCGTCTGGCGCCCCTACGTCCCCACCAACTTAGCGTTACTGACTGTTCGGCGCCCTTCTGGCCTCTCAGCGCCCCTGGACCATATAACGTTTCCACTCACTCGGCGCCCTTCCAGGAAAATGGCGCCCTTGTCATGGTCTCACGGCGCCCTCGTAACCTTCTGGCGCCCCTTTGGCCCACCAACTTACCACTGCTGACTGTTCGGCGCCCTTCAGGCTACTCAGCGCCCCTGGACCATATAATGTTTTCATTCACTCGGCGCCCTTCTAAGAGAATGGCGCCCTTTTCATGGTCTCACGGCGCCCTCGTAGCCGTCTGGCGCCCCTCTACATTTTTAACGCCCTTCCGGTCACTTTACACTGTTAACCGTGCATTTGTTTAGTCAGACATGTCACTTGAAGCGCCTTTTCGGCTAGCAATGCTATCAAATTCGGTGTTAATTTAGGCTCCCACATAAATAATATCCATTGCGCCCCAAGGCGGTCTGGCACCCCTGCAGCTGAGCACCCACAATCATTTGAGGAAAAATTACACCCTTGCCCAAAGGTAGGTCTTGCCCCCCCCCCCCCCGAGAACTGAACCCGCGCCGGGCCGTCCCCGCCCTGCGGTTTTTCGCAGATATCTCAAAAACGGCGGCGCACAGCGCTGCTGTTTTTTGCACACCTTTTTGTGCATCTTTTCACACACGTGAAAATTTCAGCCCCACGTTGCTCAAGGTCATGTTACCAAGTCACGCCAAGTGACCTCACCGCAGAAAAAAAAAATAGAATGCTCGTCATGGCAACACCGACTGAATGATCATTGCCTTGAAACTTTCAGCGATTGATAAGAGTAACAGTACCTATCATTTACAAAACGTACCTATGTCTCGGAATTTTGATATCGGTGACCTATGATCAGGTCAATTTTGCGGCCTCTCCATTATTAATCAATGGGATAAAATTGAAATGCGTTTCTTTTGCAGGAACGCCATTCTAGACACTCTCAAACATCGGGATGCAGGTAAAATTGACACACTGAACCGGAAATTGGAAAATGGCACCTGTGACCCCTCGTTATGTCCCCGAGGTCATCTCAGGTCACGAATAGCGTCTAACAGGTTTTCGCTAATAACTTCTGATTGAGGCATGCTAGAGCAATGAAAACGCCTTAGATGTGTTCGGCTCGACGATGCCGATCGACTAATATGCAACATGAACTTTTCCGGTCAGGTCATGACCTCAACCTGAGGTCAAATTTTCAAGTTGACCTTTCAAGGCCAAATTAGGTATAGTTCATTCAAAGCGTCTCGACGAGAAGAACACGATGCCGGCAAAAGTGATGTCGTGGCTCTTTTTTTGAGTCAAAACTTATTGCTGAAAAAAAACATAAAAAACATTTTTTCGTGAAAACGGCTATTTTTGGAGTTTTTTCCCTCTGGAGGCTAAACCGTTAGCCTGGGCTCAAATCTGAGGACATGGCGAAAGAACGTTAAAAGAGCTATCGAATGCGCTTTTCCGCGGCGCTGTAGCTCTATATCGGTTCCCGAGTTAGCTGTTGGCAGTTTCCAAAATGTTGAAATAGCCAACATTTTACCTTTGGTGAGTCCTCTGGTGACCTGACCTTTGACCTGACCAAAAAATGGCCGACGTGTTTCGTCTTTATTTTGGATGTTCTTTCGATTGCCCTTACCGTGTGTCGCTACTCGCTACCTGACCCAGGAGCAGAGTTAGAAGGGGTGTTTAGACACCCCCCCCCCCTCCCTCGGCCCGGCGCGGAAGTCTCGGAGCACCGGCCCGGCGCGGGATCATAGGGCCATCAGTGGCAGGTGTAGAGACCTCATAGGCCAGTTGGGGCCTATAGAGGCCTGTTTGGGGCCCCTCAGAGTCTCAGTATCTAGCCGATCGGCTGGGTGTCGGTCCGACGTCGCGGCTGTGCCTCGGGTTGATATAGCGGGGAGACGTCGGCTGAGCGTCGGGTTGACAGCGGGGAGATGTCGAGCCGACGTCGGCCCGACCGTCATCTCGGCTCAACTTCGGCGAACGATCTCGGCCCGACGTCGGCCCGACGTCGGCTGGACCTCGGCTGGACGTCGAGTATAGGTATGCGGATTGCGGACGTTCCCGCCGTCCAGCCGACGTCGGGCTGAGCTTGGACCAAGGCTATATGGTTGGACCGATGTTGGGCCGACGTCGGCATGTTTACTGGGTTTCGCTTGGTACCGCGTTTGTTTCCGTAGCTGACCCTTATTTGCGGTGTTAGACAGGGAGCGAAAAACGTCCCCCAGGACTGTGATGGTTAGGATTGCCCCCGGGTCAGGCCGGGACCGGTTAATAAAAATAATTCATAGCTCAGGCGAGGTTCACGCCTGTTGTCCCTAAAAGCGAAGAAAAGCGATTGTGAAGTCAAAGTGACTCTTTCTGGGTGATAAAAGGGACGTCGAATATGGAATAAACCATATTCCAGCCAATAGCCATTATAGAGTTCAGCCATAATAGCCATCAAGATTCCTTTACTACTCCAAGATTCCTTTATAGCCATCGTAGTCGAGTTCAGTAGGAATAAAATATGATACCAGTTTGACGGACATGCAAGTTATCTTTTGTTTCATCCGCGCAGTTTTTGTCGTCATTGCTAATGCCGCGCATTTCCCCAAAGGAGAGTGAGTTTTGGTGAGTTTTGAATAATTTTAAATTTGAATAGAAGTATGATCAAGATCGTGACATTAATTGGGTGAACTGAAGCTGCATAAGGTTAAATAGAATATTCGTGGTTATTTTTCCTTGATTTCAAAACGAAAACAAAAAAAATGCAACAAATGAAAATGCTCTTTCCCAAATGTGAACACAAAAAAAAACAGCAACCAACCAATTCAAATTCCAAACCGTCCTGTGGTCTGTAGGTGTTGTGTTGTTGTGTAACAGCAAAACGTAATTAATTTCTGGTGATTTCCTTTGTAATTATAGCAATAATTACTGGTAAAATAACAAGTAAGTATTGAAAAGTCCCATGTACGGTACCTAGGTAGAGTACTTCACTTTGACTTACGACGGATATACCAGACCTTTCAAGTATCTTCTCGATATGTCTGCAATATCTAATGGGATTATGATATCTATCGTGATCTTTCTAGTTAGTAACTGAGTGCTGCCTATGTGCTTACTCAGCAATTCTGCTGTCTACAATAGTCCTTGCCTCCTATTATGGTAGGATAGGTATCATTTGATTTAAGATCAGATGATATTGTTTTTGGTCAGTTTTTTTATCTCAAAAGACCTTCTTTTTCATTGTTGTTGAAAATAAAGGAAATATTTCAAATATGAAAGTTTTGTTTTCAAATAAATCAAGATGTGAAATTAATCGATACCTTTCTATTGACTACTGGTTACTGGTTAGGCATACATAGTTAAACTCAGGTGACATGATTATGTGCTATGAAGTACTTCATACTTGTCCAAAAATTTGCCAAGCATATTTCTAATCCTGGCTTTCACTTAATCAATGATCAAGGGAAAGGTCATGAAAAATATAAATTGACAAATATGTAATTTCAAGAGCTTTTTGTACCATGCTGTAGCACCAGTAAAGTAATCTTGGTACTACCAATCATTTATCTTTGATCAACATTTGCAGCTGGAGAGGATTTTGAGGATCTTATGGCCTATGGGGGATTTTGTGAACTCCTGGCATGGAGTGATTAGGGTTCCTTGAACACTTCACACCCCCTATCCTCATTCCATTTTATAAGCAATTGGCACCTGCCTGTATAATCCATTTCTTGGTCAATGTACTAGTCTCAACTACTACAAAACCTACCAAGTAATAATTACCTACAAATCTATAAAACTTTATTCACTTATGTTGACATTTTCAGAACTGTATGTTACCTACAGGCTACAAATAAAACATTGCTGATTCTTTTACTAACTTTAGGATAAAATTTCAGAGCAAGTAAGGTAGGGACAGCAGTGGAGAACTGTGTATTGTGGCATCATTTATTTACCTTAAGTCTTTTTCTTTTGTTCAAATTTTATCACAAAACTGTTTGAAGGTTGGTGACTGGATAAGATTTGGCTGGGCCCAATGAAAAGGCCACTCTCCACTGAACTAAGGTGCTGCCATTTTCAGCAAGTCACCTTTTTGCATCCTGGCTCACTCCTCAAAAGCCACCCACTCATTGCCAAGTTTTGATAAAAATCACGACATGTTACCACTGTTCTGTTTTGTTGCAACAATTCCTTCAATATCATTTGGTTTGCTTAATGCCTGTGTCCTGCATTTCAGAATAAATCATGCCACTAGACTTTGATGTAGAGACATTTCTTCACAACCTCAAGGCAACCAAGCCGCCATATGAGTGTCCGGTGGAGAGCTGCGGGAAGGTGTACAAGAGTTTCTCTGGAATCCAGGTGCATCTGGAGAACTATGACCACAGCATCCCCACACCAGTGTCTCAGTCCAAGTCAGGTGAGTGACATGTCAGATGATCGAGGAACAGGGGAGAGGCTGGTCTGAGATGGCAGTAACTATCATCCATATAGTGTGATCATACCCACATTTGTTTTTCATTGAGTTCGAGTTTTCATATTTGCAGTCTATTTTCTGCAGTGACTAGTGAGTTAAGGTAGTGCATGTTATGTCAATAAGGCTGGCAAATGTATTTACTTTGAAGACAGCTGAACTAATAATTCTGATCCATATATTTATCCATCTACCTGTCATCTCTCTTGGTCCCTTCATGTCTCTGCTCATTACATGACCGTAGCATTTCTATTGTCTGTGTTCTGCTGACTGCTAAGCCCATATACTAGCCTGGGTGTCTGCTGGAAGCCACCCCCACCTAACCCCTCTGCCCCATAGCGCGTAAGAAGGGGAAGGCGCGGCGCGGCGGCCAGGCGGCCGACCGGTCCCCCTCCCCAGCGCCCGTGCTTCCCGTGAAGGCGCAGCGCGAGCCACGCATCAGCTATGTGGACGCCACCAAGATGCTCGAGTACGAGACCGACGGCGGCCTGCTGACCTTCAGTATCTATGACAACCTCACCATCATGTCCAAGGTGAGGCCGTGGGGACCGACTGGGAGGAACAGCGCGAACTGTTCCGTAGTGGCGGACTGTTTTTGCAAGCCTTGGAGGATAATGCTGATTGCTGACAGCCGACTCGGTTTTTCACGAAGCACGGTTGTCCGCACAAATTACTTGGAATGTCACTAGGCAAGAGCTGTTAGACCGCTCATGTACCGAACGACGTCTTTTTGAAGACTGCTTCTCAGTAACAAGTTGCGTAGAAGTACAGTGGTAGGTATGCATTCTGTCAGTTTGTCTACAATAACGTAACGAACACATTAGCTGCCATTCTTTCTTTATTCGACCGTTTGTTTGTCTTTGTTCCCCGATGTCACCCACCTCTCGCCCAGCAGCCCCTCGCCACCCCGCTGTCTGCTCACGGCTGCGCTGCCTGTCTCACAGACCGAGTACGAGGCGCTGGTGCCTCCTCCCCCGCCGGACCCGGTGGCCAGTCCTGAACCCGGTCAGCCGGCGGCCGCCGCGGCCCGGCACGGCACGCCGCGGCCGCCGGGCCGCTCGGCCAGCGGGGAGACAGCCACGCGCCACCCGAGCCAGTCCGGGGACGAGCGGCGGCACCGGGCGCTGCCCGAGGCGGCCTTCTCAGAGGACGACGACTACCAGCTGGACGACGCGCCGCCCATGCCGACCAACTACATACGGTCAGTGGCTGTACCACTAGTGTACAGGGTGTCCGGAAAGTCATGGCGCTTTTCAATTTTTCGCAAACAAATGCGGCTGGTTCATATATATTTAACAACTGGATGAAACAATGATCGGGGACAACAAGAGACATCCTTCCGCCAACTGTTCACTCGATATAGCCGCCGTCGGCGGCGACGACGGCCTCGACGCGGGGGCGGAAGCCCTTGCATGTCTTGACGATGTATGCCGCCTCCAGACCCTCCCACGCTGCCACGATGCGAGCCTTCAGCGACTCCAGGTTGGGATGAGAGGTAGCCTGGACCTCATCCTGCAAGACGCTCCACACGCTGTAATCGAGAGGGTTGAGGTCGGGGGACTGAGGCGGCCACATCTTCTTTTGCCAGAAGTGGTCTGGCCCGCCCAGCTCCTCTGTCAGCTTGGCTTGGACGGCGGCAGCGTTGTGGGCGGGCGCTCCGTCCTGTTGAAACACGAAGTTGCCCTCCGGGTAAGTCGCCTTGATCCACGGGATGACGTGCCTGTCCAGGAGCTCCTCGTAGACCAGCCTGTTGATCTTTTCGTTGGCATCAACGAAGATGATGGGACATTTCTGCCCGTCCGATCCGATGACCCCCAGGACCATCACCTTCTGCGGGTGCTTGTTGACTGGGTTGAACCGAATCCGGGGATCCACTTCGTCAACAGGCTTGTCGGACAAGTAGCGAGAGTTCCTTCGGTTGATCTGAGCGTCGACGTGGAACAGCTTCTCATCGGAAAAGATCCGAACGAAGCTGGAGGTCACTGGGCTCTTTAAGAAGTTCAAGAGCAACTTGCTTTTCTCCAGACGGCGAAGACGCGTGACCTCGGTTAGACGCGGCCTGTTCTGGATCACCCTGGACTTCATCCCCAAATCTTGGTGAATCAGTTCGTGCATGGATGACTTCGGAAAGCCGAACTTCTTTGCCAGTTTTCTGATCGGCTGCCGCGGATTCTCTTCGATTGCCGCTGACACGGCAGCCACGTTCTTGGCAGTTCTGACCGACCGGGGCCTTCCCGATCTGGGGGCATCTTCTAAAGAATCCCCACGTCGGATCTTGGCTTTCACCCGCTGAACCGTTCGCCGAGAAACGCCACATCGTGCTGCGACTTGCGCCTCGGTCATGCCGGACCCGGCCGCCGCGCGCAGACAGCCAGCGACAAGTTGCCTCTTCGTCTGTTTTTCCATGACTGAACGCAATTTCAAGGTCAAATTTACACGGCCCACGGCTGACCGGTCAGTGAGGGGTCACGCCTGCGGTGATTGGCTGATCGTCCACCAATCACAGCGCTCGTTAGACGGCATATAAGAGAAGCGCCAGGACTTTCCGGACACCCTGTACTGTACTGTGGGCACTGTGTGAATTGTACCATAGGTGATGTGTGAGCGTACCAGCTGGACGACGTTAGGTTAGGTGTGAATGTTGTATTGCGCAAAATAAAAAATACGTCATCATGTGCCAGCAGTATTGGTCTGAAGAATTTGATGTGTTTGTCGGTAACGCGATTCGTTATTTCTCATGTATTCAGAAACCTGTGAGTGCTTAGTTTGATGAACTGTCACGTAGCACTTTATGCGACACATTCCGACATGCATTTTAGTTCACCCGTGTCCTGACCACCCGCCGTCCGTGTTCGTTTCTCCGCGCGCAGCTTTATCGAGAAATCTCTGGACGAGCTGGATGAGGAGGTAGAGTACGACATGGACGAGGAAGACGTGGCTTGGCTGGACATCACCAACCAGCAGCGCGCCGAGCGTGCGCTGGCACCAGTCAAAGACGCCGACTTCGAGCTGCTGATGGACAGACTCGAGAAGGAGAGCTACTTCCAGGTACAGAAGTGGAAATAACTGTGCTGTGACCAAGGGCAAACATGAGGGGCAATTCCGGTTAAATATTAGCTAGTTTGTTGCAGTAACACCCAGTATTTACCATGTCAGGCATGATCATCCTTGTCAGTGCGATAGATCGGATAAAATTGTACCCCGTCCCCGCTGGCACAGACGATAGTGGCTGACCTCCCCTCCCCTCTCCCCTCGGCAGGCACAGATAGTGTCATCTGACCAGTGACCCCTCTCCCCATTCCCCGGCAGGCGCAGACGACGGTGGGTACGAACGTGGCGCCGATCGACGAGGAGGCCGTCTGCTGCATCTGCATGGACGGCGAGTGCGAGAACAGCAACGTGATCCTGTTCTGCGACATGTGCAACCTGCCCGTGCACCAGGAGTGCTACGGCGTGCCGTACATCCCCGAGGGCCCCTGGTGGTGCCGCCGCTGTCTCCAGTCGCCCTCCCGAGCCGTCGACTGCGTGCTCTGCCCCAACAAGGGCGGCGCGTTCAAGCAGACGGACGATAACCGGTGGGCGCACGTGGTCTGTGCCCTCTGGGTGCCCGAGGTGTGCTTCGCTAACACGGTGAGTCGCCGGCGGACGGCGGGTGACCGGCCGTCTGAGATGTGTGTGATGGGTGCTGTGCTCCTATTATTCACTGTTGACTGAGTTCTCACTGGGCGCGTGTCCACTCGGCAGGTGTTTTTGGAGCCGATCGACAGTCTGGACCGCATCCCGCCGGCCCGCTGGAAATTATCTTGCTACATCTGCAAACAGAGGAACGTGGGCGCCTGCATACAGTGCCACAAGGACAAATGCTACACAGGTAAGTACTGGACTGTCGGTGACGTTTCTAGCCATGAAGCATGCTTTCATCTGTTGTGGATTATTTGTGAATTACATTATGGCAAGTTGATTCATTCCCGGAAGTCGTAGATAGTTATTTTCTTGGATATGTATTTTTCTTGGATATGAGATGCATCCCCAATCATTTTTGAAATCGGGCTGTCATCTGTTTAATATGAAATATATTTGTTGTTTGCATCCTCGATGTACGCAGACAAAGTCATATTCGAATTTTCACTTCGCATTTACCACTTGCTCCCGTTAGCTGAGCGTGCCAACTCGTTCCCCTCCCCCCACCACAAACCTCTTCTCTCTCCCCTCCGCAGCGTTTCACGTGACGTGCGCGCAGCAGGCGGGCATGCATATGAAGGTGGACGCCATTCGCGAGACGAGTAGCACGGGTACCTCGTTCATAGTGCGGAAGGCGGCCTACTGCGACATCCACACGCCCATCGACTCGGACGCGGTGAGCAGCTGGTGCAGGGGTGATCATGGTTGGGCGGCTTTGGAAGCGTGGCTGAGGGGTAGACGGTGGGTAAGAAATGTCACTGGCCATGCAGAAGCCACAGCTTTGAAGACTTTGTGGTTTTGTGCCGGTGGCTGTCCGGCGTCCACAGCTCTGAAGGCTCTGTGTAGTTTGTGACTGGTGTCTTTCTGACCATTCAGAAGCCGCAGCTGGACGAGGCGCCGATGGACTCGGCCCGCAAGGCGCAGGCCAAGGCCGAGTCGCGACAGAAGATGAGGAAGGCGCGTAAGATCCTGGCCGAGCGTCGGTCGGCGCTGCCAGTGGTGTCGGTACCCACCATACCGCCCGAGAGGTCAGTCAGGACTGGGAACAGACGGCCCGAGAGGTCAGTGAGGAGAGGGGGTCCGCTAGGGACAATACCAGCCGAGAGGTCAGTCAGGAGGGGGATCAGACCGCCACAGAGGTCAATGGGCAGGGGTCAGAGGACGGTGGTCAGGTCAAGGGGTGATGGCAAGGTCAGTCATGGTCGATGACCGTTGTCGACTGACGAAAAGAGGCTTAGTTGCGACGAAGGATAGGCTGAACGAGCTTATTAAAAACACCTGCACATAAAAATGATATCGGTATATCGGTCTGTGCCCGGACTTCGCCCAGTTTATTATCGAGATGGGTCTCTCAAATTTTGTGCCCCACCGTTACCCAGTGGCCGACCCTCCCCCCCCCCTCTCCCCCAGAGTGCAGCACCTGGCCTCTCTGATCGAGTGCCCCCGCAAGAACCACTTCATCCAGCGTCTGCTGGCCTACTGGACGCTGAAGCGCTACTCGCGGTACGGCGTGCCTCTGCTCCGACGACTGCAGGTGTCGGCCAAACAGGCCCGGCGAGCAGACTCCGGCGGACGTGACCCGCTCCAGGACAAGGTGGGAAAAAGAGAGGGCTCTGGGCTGGGCAGTGGGCCGTGGGCTGAAATGTGCCGGCTTTATTCGGTGAGTTATCCTAGTTTTGGCTGTATCGGAGGATGTAAGAATATCCGTTACTGAGTTTGTGCGGTGTTTTTCGTCCTCAGAACGAGATTCGTGAGCAGATTAAGTACTGGCAGCGGCTGAGACAGGACCTGGAGAAGGTCCGCCTGCTCTGTGAGCTCATCAGAAAACGGGAGAAAACCAAACGAGAACTCATCAAAGTGTGAGTCATGATGCAGCTGCAATGCGGTGTTGAAAATTGTGCTATTGTTTTATTACGATCTTTCTCTATAATTTCTGTACTTGAGCTTTCTGTTGGCTGAGGCGCACAACCTCTGGGGCTCGTGAATTTCTGCTATGGGACACTGAATGTGCCCGCTGACACCGCGCGTCCGATCCGCGCCTATCCCTGCAGCTCAGAGCGGGAGCGCCGTCTGCGTCTTGCACCGCTGCAGTTCTTCCTCGAGGGAGTGGTGGAGCAGATCAGCGCCCGAGACCAGGGCGGCATCTTCGCCGAGCCGGTGGACACAGATGAGGTAGGGGCGCCTGAGAGGATGGGGAGGGGGGTCTGCTGAGAGACCTGTAGCGGTCTGTGGGCGGTGAGCGACTGAGCAGGAATGTGCAACTGAGCTGATACGCCTTGATTGTGATTCTGAAACATAGAAGTGAACTTGCAAGATCAACTGGAGGGTACGGCTGGGTAGTTTGGTAATAAATGTTAGTGGTCGATGGCCAGCCTCGTGTAGCAACTATTTAGGGCAAAACAATTACATCGATTTTAGACGCCAAAATATTCGCACTAGCTTGACACTTGAAACGCAGCAACACGTCGGTATCACTGACGCTTGCCGTAGCATTATATTGGGAGCTGCTAGGCCTTGTTAATTCACGTATTTAGAGACTGTCACCGTAAATTTTTCCGCCGACTAGAAAATTGGTCCGGGTTGAATAATGAATATGACTCAAACAAAACATGACGCTTTCAATATTATTGAATGGCACTCATTTTCGCAGTCCGGACAAGCGAGAAAAATGGTATAGAACGTTTATTGTACTGTTGTTATTGGTGTTTTTGATACGTTTCTCTAGCGTTTTGCTAAATTTGAGATAACTAGATGTTGTGAGCTAGAAAGCTTATTTGCTCTGAGTCACTCGGTTTGCGTGCAGTCATGGAAGAGTTCATGTCTGCTTCCATGTGAAATACAAGCAACTGGAACGTTAGTCACATTCAGTTGCTCTATTTACCCTTCATTTTTATCGTCGCTTCCGTGGGTTTTACTTTCTCCTAATTTGGGTAACAATGGATTTGAAAGCCTTGTTTCTTATGTCTTGTCTGTCCTCAGGTATATTCTGATAAATATAATCACTAATCAGACAGCCAAGACCTTTCTGGATTATTTCACACCAATCACTCCGAAGTTTTCTCTTTTCATCGTTCCAAAGATGGCAGTGGCTGGCGCTAGTGGCCGATTTAATAAGCACACTTGTCGGTTCAAAGGAGCTTGTCTTCTTTTTTCCTATGGTCAGATATTTTGTATCGATAAAGAAGCCGTATATAAAGTATCTATTGTTAACATCGTCGGCTCGTGTCCACGTACACCAGTCGGTGTAACCCGTCCCCCCCCCCTGCCTCCACCATCAGGTGACCGACTACCTGTCGGTGATCTCGGAGCCGATGGACCTCTCCACCATGGCGCGCAAGGTGCGACAGCACGAGTACAGCTCGCTGCCCCAGCTAGTGGCCGACTTTGACCTGATGATCCAGAACTGCCTCACCTACAACGGACCGGCCACGCTCTTCTACAAGGCCGGCGTCAAACTGAGAGACGCAGTGAGTGGGCGATGGCGGGGCGGGGGTATATTACAGTGTGTTGATAAGGCTGTGTGTGTGAGTGTGAGTGAAGGCAGCAGTGAGTGATGATTGTGGTTTGCTTTTCTGGTCTCCGGTTAATTTGACGTAGGTGTTATCACGTGTTCACTGACTTTAAACCAGATGCTGTGTGTTTTGCTCAGTGTGGGACGGTGCTGGTGTCTAACCACTGTTGCTCGTCTCCCACAGGGCGGCGCGGTGCTGCGGAAGGCGGCCCGCGAGATGGAGCAGATCGGCTTTGACTCGGAGACGGGTCTGCTCCTGACTGAGCGGCCGCCGCAGCACGACGAGACGCTCACTGACGAGGACGTCCTCGAACAGGGTGAGGAAGACAGCGGCACGAGCGGTCTGTGTCTGCTGTGGGTGAGCTCGATATCACACTGAACGGCGGCTCACGGAGCCCCATATCTCTCATGATAATGCAACTGTTTCCGTAAGAGTTTGACGGCGCTCGAATATTGCAAACGCGTTGTTACCATCATTCCCTCCGTTTTAGTGAACCAACGTCTGTCCTGTGGCTTACCATCTCCGCTTCCATTGGACCAGTTTCTGTCCATTATCGCTTTGTTTCTCCGTTTCCAGTGGACCAGTTTCTGTCGAGCTCGTACCGTGAGACGATGAATGACGAGGAGCAGATGGACGCTCTGCTGCGGCACCTGGACCGGGTGACCGAGCTCAGACACGGCGGATCGCGCGTCAAGTGGACCAAGGCGCTACGGTGAGAGGGGGCGCAGGTCAACGACAGGCTACAGAGTGTGATACTCGGGTCAGTCTGATGGGTACAGGCTGCAGACTATATGGTGCTCTGGAACTCAGATGGGGGAGTGGGGTTAGAGAGGGAACTAAATAGGATACCCCAGTGACTGGTGGGGTGGGTGGAAACCTTACTGCGATAGCGCTGCACATGATATGTATTTCAAATAAAGTGCAGTAGCATTCTATATGCCACTGATTTCTTGGCCTCATTGTGTTTGAAGTGTCACTTGTATTGATGGAGACGACCTGACGCCCACGCCGCACCGTCTCCCCAGTGTGGAGATCTCCAAGCTGCGCCGGAAGAAGGCGCTGGCGCTGACGGGCGCCACGCCGGGCCGCCGTCCGGCGCCGGCCACCCCGGCCACGCCGTCCCAGCCGGGAGGCCACAAACGGAGGCGGGGTCACTCGGGGTCGTCAGGCTCAGGTGGGTACTGCAGGGACCGGTACTGGTACTGTCCGATGCAGACGTGGGTACTGCAGGGCTGGGACTCGTACCGCCTGGTGCAGCTGTTGTGGGTACTACAGGAATGGTACTGATTGGTACACGGACAGGTCGGTACAGTCCTGTCCTTAGCACAGAGGTCATGACTAAGGATTGTGGGTACAGTCAGGCTGGTTTCGCTAGTATTTCTCAGTTTGGATCAGTCAATTATGACTGGAATGCTGAGTGTGCATTCAGCGGGTTTATAATAGCGCAACAGCCTGTCCACCCAGTGATTCCCGTCCGTCTCTGTATGACTGCCGTTCCAGACGACGACTCGTCGGACGGTACGGAGGAGCCGGCGGAGACGGCCTCTGGACGCTCCAGAGACCCGTCTCCCCACGAGACAGAGCCGCAGAAGTCCCCTCCGGCGCCGCAGAAAAAACGGGCCCGTACCGCCGCCACCGGTCAGTTAGAAGTTAGGACAGGCGAGCGGTGACTAGGGAGGAGTGACAGTCCGCGGCTCTGGAGCAACCTCGGAGACAAATGTTACGGCAGCTTCTTGTCTTAGTACGCATTGGCCGTTGACTGCTTCTTGATTATCACAAATATGATTACTGATGGGTCAAGTAATTTTAGGCCTTAGCCTTTTTTCACTATAACGACCGTAAGCAGAGGGTGCAATCTGCGGCGCTGGCCGGGCAATATGTGACCGCCTGAGCTCGCTGGCATTTCTGTCCTCAGCCCTAGGTGAGGCACCTGTGACCGCGTATCTGTCAATGACGATCGACGTCTTTGTCCACAGAGGAGGGCTCGCCGGCCGACCCAAAGTCCGCCGCCGGCCGCCGGACCGTGCCGGGGAAGCGGGGCCGGCCCAGTGGGCGCCGCCCGCAGGCCAGGGGCGCCTCTACCGGCGGTGGCGGCGGCTCCTCGGGCGGCGAGAGTCGGGACGGCACCGAAGGCGGCGGGGAGGGCTCTGAGGCGCGGCCTGCGTCCCCCTCGGGCGGACGGCGACAGGGCGGGGGCGGCCGGCCGGCCGTCGGCGGCGCCGCCTCCAGTCCCGCCGGCGTCAACCGGCGGACGGCCGTGCTGTTCACCAAGAAGGCCGCCGGGATGAAGGTGGGCGAGACTGCAAGCTGTGTGTTTAACAGGCCGAGGGAGAGGAAGTTATTAGTGCTTTAGGAGCAGCAGGGAGGGAGCAGTAATAAACTGTGCTGAGTTGTGAGGGAGCAGGCCGGCTGACCGTACCAACTGTTACTACAGCTGTTGATCTGTGATGGGTGGTTAGTAGCAGCTCCTTAGAGCTGATGTCTTTGTCGCCTCTGATCATCGTGTTTGTGTTTTCAGGGGAGTCCGTCGCCGCAGAAGAAGGACGGCAGGAGGAAGTCGCGGTCCGGTCCGAGCCAGGCCGCCGCCGACGACCAGGAATCGGTACGACATATGGCACACACATTGTTATATATGATATAACAAGCTGAATATGTTTGGGGAGCTGAATCTCTCAGCGGTGTCCCGTCATGTTGTTTTGGGTGATGTGGTCGCTCAGTGGTTGTATTTGCACGGCCTTTGCAGTTGTATGTGTATTGTGTATCTCATGTTTGTAACGTAGTTCGCCGCGCTGATCATTTTCTGTTCATCACCCGCCCTCTCTCGCTCCGCAGGCTGGCCGCTCGAAGCCGTCGTCGTCGGGCGGCGGTCCGTCTCTGGCCAGTCGCGGGTCGGAGGAGCGGGACAGCGGGGACGACTTCCAGCCGCGCCACCGGGCCAGCTTCACTCAGTACCGACAGGGCAGAGGTGCGGTACGAGCCGCCGGCCGACCGTGCCGACGTGGCGGAGAGGGGGAGAGAGAGGTTGCCATTGGGGGTATACGGGGACTCGGTCGTAGGGACCGGCTGAGAGTTGCCACGCATGTAACGGTGTGAATTTCTGCTAATAAGTATTTACCTTAAGTATTTGCCTTAAGTAAAGGTCATTAGATACCCTTTCGAGTAATAAGACCCTTTACTCAAGAGGCGCCTCCTCCTCTTCTGATGAAGACGAGTTGGCTGCCATGCTTGTTGTCGCCATAAAATGACGACCACTGTTGTTAGTGACAGTAGCTACTGTTGTGTAATTAATAATCTCCGCTTTAGTTGAAATCTGTCCGACAATAGTGCCGTTTATATTTCCCTGAAACCACTAGGTCATTTCCCATATTTTCCCCACCGTTGTTATCCCTGACCCCTCGCCCTCCCCGCCTCTCCTTACCATCACCCTGACGCGACCCCTTGTTGCTCTGCCAGACGTGGCCCCCGGCTCTGACGAGGACACGGCCAGCGAGCCGGACGAGCTGCCGCCGCCCGGCCTGGAGACTGGATCAGAGGACTCCGAACTGGACTCTGAGCTCGAGGACGCCGACATCAGCAGCTCCGAGATCCCGCTGGAGCCGCTCGACATCGTCTGGGCCAAGTGCCGCGGCTTCCCCTGGTACCCGGCGCTGGTGAGTACTGGGTAGTCGGCCCGTCCCCTGGTATCCGGCACTGGTGAGAAGTCGGTCCGTCCCCTGGTACCCGGCAGTGGTGAGTACTGAGTAGTGAGTAGTGGGTCCGTCCCCTAGAACCCGGCACTGGTGAGTCGAGCACGGAGAACCGGAAGCATAATGACCTCGCTATCGATGCTCCCTTAAACCCAGCGAACAAACAAACAGCGCGGAGGACCGGGATGTATGACGTGCGTGGGGAGACGTGGTGACGTGGCGATAGGAGTTGGTCACGTTTGATGAAACGTGAAGGCTTTTCTTTTCCACGCTACATTAGCGTTTACTTAGTTGTTGTGTAATGCGCACGATCGCTTCACTCTACGTCAGCGTCAAAGAAATAGCGCTACGGGGTGAACACGGATATGTTGCAAATTGACGGCGAGTCCTGTAATGAGTTGAGTGCACATTGCACTTGCAATGTGCACAAGGATGTTGTTGCAAGGCTGGTAGTGTAATGAACCGTCAATTTAGAGAAAACCGTCTATCGTAATGAGCCTTAAGTCTAGCGAAGACTTTCAATTAATGTACCATCTGTGTATAACCGTCACCCAACTTAACCCTTCTCTCCCTGTCTTACACAGATAATCGACCCGAAGATGCCTCGGACGGGCTACTTCCACAACCTGGTGCCGATCCCGGTGCCGCCCGAGGACGTGCTGGCTCTGGCGGCCAACCACACCAGTCCCATGTACCTGGTGCTCTTCTTCGACGCCAAGCGCACCTGGTGAGTCTGGGAAGGGACTGGGGGTGGGTTCAGGCCGGCGTGGGATTTGGTCCGGGAGTGTGGGGGCGTCGAAGCTTGGTCGCATTGTGTAGAGTTTGTGTGTACAACTATTGCGGTTGGCGACGTGTGTAATGCTGTCGTGAGAAGTGGCGTTTGTATAAATAGGAAAACACGCCATTTACAGTTAACATTTACAGTTAAATCAAGGGTTTCATGCACTTCGAGTAGACCACAAAGAATCGACTCGTGGCCTTTGAGACTCTGCGTCGCCGTTATTTAGTTTGTCCTTTTCAGTCCCCTTTTTCTGACCCCGCCCCGGTTCTCTGCCCGTTCTCAGGCAGTGGCTGCCGCGCACCAAGCTGGAACCACTCGGCGTGGACCCGTCCCTCGACAAGGCCAAGCTAGTTGAGTCGCGTAAAGCCAACGACAGGAAAGCAGTTAAGACCGCCTACGAGAAGGCGATCCTTCACCAGTGCCGCGTCACTGGCAAGAGCGCCAAGTTCAGTCTGGAGGACAAGGACAAGTCGGCCGTGGACGTCTACTACAAGAATATGACCTGAGCGCGGTCAGTCCGGCCGCCGGCAGATGGGGAGGGGTGGGAAGGGGGGCTCCCTCCCCAGTGAGGTCGCGGGAGAGACGGGAGAGGGAGAGGGAATGCCAGAGGCACTTCATCCCAGTGAGATTGTGTGTACAAAGATGGCACCGTATACGTTCCCGGAGTGATGGCCAGAAGGTAGCTGAAATATTTTGCTCGAACACGTAAATCATGACTACACGTTTAAACCCCTACACTTCCCTAGATGAGGAAGGTAACACGGAAGCTGATAACGCCCAGCACTGTGTAGCCCGGGTAGTCCCGTTCGGGGGGGGGGGGGGTGAGGGTGCCGAGTTCTGCGGGCGACTCCGTCCCGTACCGTCCGACCCTCACCGCCAGGTGAGGCGGCGAGGGCCGGGAGTCGGGCCCCGGTTGTGTCCCGATAGGCTGCCTCGTGGTTGGCGGGAACGTTGGACGTGTGAGCTCATGTAGCGTGGGCGGCATTTATGGCACCATACCGGGTACGCGTGGTCTCATCATGTGGCGAATTACCCAGACTGTGATGTGTGGCGGCGCTGTTAGCATCTCATCGTCTTCATCGCATTCAGTTCCCATCAGCACCATACGAGAGCGTAGGACGATGATGTGGCATAATTAGGAGGTGCTATTTTTATGTGCGCCGATAAAACATTTTCCGTAAATATACAGAGAAGTCTGACATCAGGGTGTCAAAACTGAAGTGATTCTGAATGCTAATTGCTAATTCAACTAATTTGTAGGACCTCACTTAGTAAGAGGATCAAGTACGAGGAATTTAATGAAATGGAAATGCTCGGGAAGTTGTGGGTCTGCTATGGTATGATGATCATTACGAGTTCACATTATGTCTTCGGAATTTCTTCGTGATCGGCTGACACCACTTTTTTACTTCAAGGATTATGTATTCGTATTGCATCAAAATGACCACCATATAAATAAGCAATGACACATGTAAAACATAGTATACACTTTTTAAAACAAACCGGTGCTGTAAGACATCTTTTCAAACAGCCTGTAAAAGACTCGCGAGCTTCTAGAAGCGAAGAGATGCTGGAAGTCAGCTTATCGAAACCACACAAAATTATCTATAAAATACACCTACGCCTTGACGTTATAAAATCCTTCGAGCGCACCATTAGAATATTTTTCGGCATTCAAACCCATCCGCGATTGACGGCGGCAGCTCTCAGCCTGTCACTCCTCCGGCGCTGTAAGACGAGGCTGCCGGTCCCCACATCAGGGCGTGAGGTAGGAGGAGGTCCTTCGCCAGCTGTCACCCCGCCCCGGCCAGCGGTCAGGGGAGGTCAGCCAGCGCGCCAGGGTCGCCGGGCGGGTCGGACACCCCTGGCCGGTCTCTGCTGCAGTGACCCGTCTCCTCGGGCCGCGACCCGCCGCCGGGGAGAAGGTCCGTGACCTGACCTGACCTCGGCGACAGGCCGGGGACGGGGTGAGAGTCCGTGGTGAGAGTCCGTGGGCCGGTGAGCGGCCGGGTGAGCTGAACTGGCCCGCGGGGCCACTCGGTGGCGGCGGCGTGCAGGGCGGCCGAGGGGATGCCGACTGGAGCCCCGTGTCCAGCAGGGAGTGCACTGGCAGCGAGTGGTGGCTGTGGTACCTGGAGAGTGGAAAGCATACACAGTGAAGGTCTGACATCAGATCGTGCATTAGTTCACAACACACACCGTTCTGATCCATTACCCCGAGCCCGTCCTTGCGTCATCCTCCCGACCATCCCCTCGCCGTGTCCTCACCCGGAGCCGTGCAGCCTCCCGGCCACCAGCAGCCAGTCGGAGCTGAGCTGGCCCAGCTGCTGCACGTCCCACGAGTCGCAGACGGTCCAGCGCAGCAGCGCGCGCAGCCGGCGCCCCAGCCGGCCCAGCTCGCGCAGGTACAGCGGCCAGTTGTCCTGCCGAGAACACGGCAGCTCCGGTCAGACGGCGGGCGGACAGGACATGTGGTTACAGAGCAGTGTCAGGGGACCGGGACGGCGTCTGGGGCGGCGGGTGCCGCGGCTCACCCGACAGATCCTGTGTCGTAGCAGGGTGTCCCTGGCGCCGGCTCACCCGACAGATCCTGTGTCGCAGCAGGGTGTCCCTGGCGCGCTGCAGCCGGCACCACTCGTCCAGCAGGCCCTGCGGCACGGCGTCGTGGGCGGCCAGCGCCAGCTCCATGTGAGCCATCAGGGTGACCCGCCGCGCCTCCAGCCACTCGTGCTGGTCCTCCACTGACATCTGCCGGAAGACGGGGAAAACTGGAGTTGGTGCTATGCTCGCTAGGTTTCTGATAGGTGACAGGTTACTGTCTTGTTCGTCCGTTCAAAGCAGAAACATTTTTAGGCATTTATCGTTTATATCCACTGTTCCTCTGTTCCAGAGCCCAGATTCTTCGACCGAAAGCGTGCAGACTCCATGGGCTATTGAATACCAAAAACCTTCTAAGCCCTCATAGATCGGTGTAATGTCGTCTCCGCTTAGGGTGAGGCCTTTTATACCTGCTGGTGACGTCTTTCCAAGATTGTGTGAGACAGTCACATCCTAAATATTTGAACCCTTCCCGCATGCTTTGAGAGCGGTCTTCACCGCTGACTCCAGCACAATTGTATTGTCCCCGCCCACTCTGAAGTGATGTAACTCTCAACCAAAACACGTCAGCCGGTGCCGCGCTGACGCGACTGACCTGTGCCCGCGGCTGTATGGGCGGCGGCGTCTGTAGATCCAGCACAAACTTCTCGTACCGGGAGACGTCCCAGCTGGGCTCCATCTGTCGCCACATGTCGACCGGCACTCCCCAGGGCACTCTGAGTGGCACTCCGCGGACGGTTCTCGACTCTCTCGGGGCACTCCGCGGACAGCACCTCACCACCGCCGCACTCTGTGGTCGGCACTCTCTCAGGGCACTCCCCCCGGACACTCTCGTTATCACTCTCCGGTCGGCACTCTACCGGGACACTCCCTGTCCATGGAGCACGAGCACTCCTCGGGGGACCTCTACCAGGACTCCCTCGGACAGCACTCCGCCAAAAACTCGGCTCGGTCTGCGGTCCGGCCGGTCAGCAGGGGCGGCAGTGACCTTGACACGGTCACAGCAGTGTCAGCGATTGGTCAATGATCAGAGGCGCTTCCAGGCTCCTCGTCTGTGCCGGCAGTGGTTACGGGATGCCGCAACCTCACTTTGATCTGTCTCACCTATCCTACTGGTGGCAAGACTGATTCGCTGCGGCCAGCGCCAGCCTTCATAGTTGTAAATATTTTTGATAATCACTGTTATCTTGAGGTTTATGCTATGCATGGCTGTGCTGTCCCTGAGGTTTAAAGTTTTAAATGCATTAAACGCTGCGTAGTTACTTAGGATTTCTGTGTTTGCTTTGTATTGCTTTATTTTGTACCGGCTGACCCAGTTCAAGTTGTGTAACATGTGTCAAATGTGTGTAGAAATCGAGACGTCGCTGACAGTTGACGTGTGCCCTTTAGCGTTTATTTTAACTTCTCTTACAGAAGCTGTCTTTCACGAGGGTATAGACGGCTGTAAGCGAGCACATGAAAGCAAACTTCGCTGCTTGCGACGGTTCCTCGTCAATCGGCGCTTCGTATGTGTCGTATCTACTATACATAGTTAGAAAATCATACACGCGACCCAACGTTATGTTCCTGAGTTATGAACTGACATTAGAATTATTTCGACAATAACGTTATAATATAAAGATAAGCAAAAGTGATGAAAACACTTCGGATGTGTTTATAACAATACACGTCGGCTGATTTGTACAAAACGAGCTTTTCTAGTCACCGTCATCAGCGTAACTTTGTTTTACCTTTTCGATCGATTGGCAACAGCTTTTCGCCAAAAAAAAAAAATAATACAAACCGTTCAGTAGTTAATTATGGTTTTTACTGACTTTTTAGTCTGGGGGGACAATACCCACACTTCCCTGTCTGTACTACGCACGCAAACTGGTGTATTCTGGTTACTTCTCTACCCTCCCACCCTGGACCCTGCTCCCCTGCTCCCCTGCCGCCCGTCCTGCCTCCCTCCGTCCGTCCCGCCTCCCTCTGTCCGCCGTCCGTCCCGCCGTCCGTCGCTCGCTCGCCGCGGGCCGGCCGCCGCAGTTCGTCGGTGAAAGCCAGCGGTGCCGGCGGCGACGGAGCGGCGCACCGGCTCGGTACAGTTATCCCGACAGCGGCGGCGCTCGGCGGCGAGAACACTCGGCGTCCGGCCTCCCCGGCGCTCCGTCCGTCCGTCCGCGGCTCGAGAGGCGACCCGGCCGCCCAGCCGTGCCCACCGCTCGTCCCAGCCACCTCGGTGAAAGGTAAGCTGCGCCACCGCGTTGCCTAACGGCGCCGGTGGCGTCGGGCCGTCCCGGTCCATGTGTGCGAGCGTGGCCCGGGCCCGAGGCGCGGCCGGGCCGCGAGCCGCCGGATTGGGGTCCACGTGCCGAGCAGGGTGCGAGGTGTGAGGGTGTGAGGCTGGCGGTGTCCTGTCGGGAGCTTGTGCTAAGGACGTCGGGTTGTGAGGACGAGTGAGGTGAGCTGTGTTGGGGTTGTGTCGTTAGGGTATGTGGAAGTGGTTTGAGACATTTTGGGGGCATTGCATCAGGTCGGGTCACTGGTAACGATCTACCCCGGCTGCGATTGTATCGCGAACATGCATGAAGATGGGACCGCTTTTATAGGCTGGCGTCTGTCGGTATCGCTGCAGTGTTAGCTCTACTGGCCACCCTCAATTTCATGTGGGTTTAACCCACTGCAAGGCTGATGAAACGTTCCCACGATCGACTGATGTGCTCACACGGTGCCGGGGACGATTTCCCGGCACATTAGCAGACTGCAGCCCAGTGTGTTTAGCGTGCAGCCAGGGCCTCTAGGAACCGGTCGGGACCGCAGCTGATGTTCGCCGGCCCGCCTCCGCGGTGATGGCTCCGCTCGCACCGGATAACGGTTCGGTCCGAGACCCTCTCGGCCGTGCGTACGCGTGTTTGTGTCGCTGGGCTGAGCGGCACGAAATGTAGGCCACCGTAACGAATCGCTGGAACCAGGCCGGGTCACCGCCGCCGCCTGCACCACTTGAAAACCGCCAAACCGCCATTATACGGCCACACCGAGTCCCGTGGTCTGATAGAGCGGTGACCGCAGCTGGTCCGAGCTGCGGCGCTATTTCGAGTAGTTTCCAAGTTCCGGCAGCGGCTGGCTCGTGATAGCCACTTCCGCTTTATCTGACTCAGCCTCCGCTGTATGAGTCTCCGCCTCCGTAACTCCGCGACCGACGGGAACAGCCGGCGTGTCGCAGTTCCTGTAACGTCCGTCCGGCCGCGGGGATCGACCCGCTGACGGGTACCGATTGCGTCATGCGCTGCCGGCCGGCGGTGGTCGCCGCTCGGCTTTAGACCGCCCCCGCGGGCTGCCCCGTGTCGCCCCCGGGTAACAGACCGCCGATGGCCAGTGTGGTGCCGTCAGGGGTCAGCCGGGACAAGTGTGTTTGTTGGTCCAGACACGTCCTTCGACCCCCGGATAGCACAGTGTGGAGAATGTTGTGCTGGAGTGTTTTTGTTGCGGTGTCTGTTATCTGTGTATGTCTAACGACTGGGCATCCCGGGCGGGCTATTTAACACGTCCTAGTTTTCGAGTCTCGAGGCTTACATAGACTGTAGGCCTCGAGACTCGTAGTTCTCATGATGCTGTGGCTGTGCAATACCCTGAACAGCGCCTTGGAACAACAACGTTTCTAATTCAGAAAACCAGCCGAATTAGATCAAGGCCTTCTGTGTGAACTTCACAGCGTTCCGGCGTTCCGGCGTTCCGGCTTCACACTGTGAAGCCGGAACGCCTCGTGATCCGACGGCCACCAGCCGCTTGCCTTCATTCATTGGGTCCGCTCGTATAACCGGGCGTAACGGCGGCGCCCCTGTCTGGGCCCCCCGCAGCCAAGGCCGGAGCGTGGAGTGGGTACGTACGAGGTGCCGGTTTATGTGCCGGCAGCGGTGATCTGGCCGGTCAGACCCGACTATCTCACCGCGCCGGAGACGGGCTGACCTAACCGGGACGTGCGATTGGACCCCATTTGGTACGCAGGCAATGGGCTGTAGGTTCCAGTTTTCCGGAGCCCTGAGCTCCGAACTGTAAGCATCAACCGGGTCCCGTAGTTAAGAGCCGAGACGGAGCGATACCGCAATTTACCTACATTTGATGCATTGGGGATACATGGGACCGACTTTTAACCCATCGTAAACGCTTCAAGGAGAATCACCATTCGGTATGACCTGCTGAAGAAGTAGTCGTCTGCATTTAATAATTCTACATCTGTAAAAGGAGCCGATATTCCGACAAACAGTATTGAATGACTCACATGACGTATGTCGCCGGTCGACAATGACGATTCAGTATCCAGTTCCATCGTTAGATATCAAACAAGATAGATAGGTACCATAATTATTCGTGGCGCACCAGTCTTTTAAGAATGGCCATCGTTATTCCTCGTAATTGTGGGCACTTGCATTACGCATGCAGCAAATAGCAATGAACACTTCGCCACATCGGGACAGCTCGAGACGGTCGTTATAAAATGGACACAAAAGACGTCAATGGCATATGGACAAATCGACCAGGGCTTACGCAATACATTCATCTTTTTTACTTGGGGATTGAAGTTGAATCTGTGTTCATCTTGCGCCTTGCGGTTTGATTTTATCGCCAAGCAACGTATAAAGTTCGAATAATGACAATTAAATGACTTGCATGATTAATCCATCTATATTGAATGTTTTCATTCTCAGTTGGTTACCTACATGTACCTAATTTTAGGTAAAGCATTTCCCTACCATTCCGACATTTTTAAGAACATCTTCGTGGCACTGGAGACGTTTTCGCGTATGGAAAAGCGGTGCTGCACAGGCTAAAGGTATCGCAGAAAAAAGATCGCTACAAAAGGTTCATTATATGGAAAACGATCGTAAAGAAAGCCATCTTTTGCTTAGAACGTTAAAGTTGAACACTTGTAGCGTGGCTTAAATGCAGCGAGCGAAAACAGCGTTACTGTACAGCGTAGGTATGCGACCGGGAGAAAATGCACGCGAATTCTGACAAACAGCGTGCCAGAAGAGAACGTAAGATCTGTTTGCACGATGAAATACCTCGCTACAGCGTGAGTAGAGCCGCATATACCTAATACCTACCTACTCGTGCAGTCGCGGGCCGGGCCACGCAGACCCAAGGCCCTAATTTACCGCTTAGGCGTTCAAAGCCTGCGGCACAGCGTTGCGGGCCATGACGCCATGGGACACTCAGCCTTGACCCGGCTGTCAGCAGGCGCACGCGCTGGTCACGTGTCTCTGGTCGGGCTCCTCCGTTGGGGAGAAACTCTCGTGCACATCCGGGACGGCGCGGCGGCTGGGCGCCAGGGGAGGACGGCCGGCTAAATAACACCGATAGCACCCACCGCCGGCGGCTCCAGACGCGGCCGAATGGAAAGTGAACTGGCCCGGCCGGCGCGGCGACCGGCGCACGCCAGGTGTGCAAGCTGCGCGTGCCTGTTCCAGTGACCTTGTAGGCGAGCTGTGCGACCGTCACCGTATGTGTGTGTGTCTGTGTGTGCGAGTCGGACTGCCGACTGTTGCGTGGTCCTGTGAAGCGTGAACGGTGCGACATACGTGACTGTGACTGCATTTTAATGTTTTTATGTAGGAAGGCAAATGGAAGAGCTCAGTGATTTGTCGTCGGATTTATTTTGAAAGGGATGAAGTGCCTCGAAATTTGGTCATTAGAATCAACTGTCTCTGTCCTCTGCAGCTTGTTCAGGTGCTGCTCGGTAGCCGCCTATAACCTTAAGTACTTACCTACTGGCTACTACGCCTGTTTGGGCAGCCGGTTGAGCATTATAACTCTAATTGGTGTACTAAAACGGTGATCCTGTGTGACATGCCTTGGGCGCCCTCTGTCCAATGAGAAAATTCCGTTTTTTAACGAGAAATCCACGTTTAAAACCGTCTTATAGACATAGCGAGACCGAGTGTCTGTCTTATTCGCCGACTCACTGTCCTCACCAACTTCACACCATGACCCAGGGCCCTGTGAAGAGTCTCCGTAGTTATATCCAAGGCCATGTACATTGATA